TGACTAATTATACAAGTAATTAATTAATTTAGATAATTAATTAATTTATTCATTAATTATAATACTAATTATTTAATTAATTAAATTAATTATTAATACTTTAAATTATATTAATTAAGTTAAATTAGATTAATTTCTTCCCATGATAGCTTAGAGGCGCTAGGGTTTGCTTTTTCATATTCTCTGCTTCGTCGTTGCGGTTCGACTTCGTTGCTTCGCGGGAGGTAGATTTTTGCACGTGTTGCTTCGGTTCCTTCGTTGCTGTTCGACTTCGCTCCTTCGACGACGTTCCCTTCCTGTGGGATTGGAAGTCACGACATTTTGATCGGAAACAACGACGGGAGCTCGCTCGCTGTGAGGGTAACTTTCTCCCTTCCGTGTGCTTCTTCGGCCAAATCTTGTAAATCCGTTTGATTTCAGGATTTAATAATTCCGGGGTTTATTGTCCAAAGGGGAGACGGAGGATTTATCCCTCCGTGAGATTTAGCGGGCCCTCAAATCCCGTTTGGCAGGATTTGGCTTAAATCCTGCTCAAATCCTGCATAAATCCTGTTTCCAAACAGCCCCTAATAAGTGTTATATTGGTAAATCAGCTTTTTTTTTATTCTTCTCAGGACTTCTCCTTGAAAGAAAATCAGGAAGAGGCGGTCTTAAACCCTTATTAGCTGCGTTTGCTCCTTCTGGATTGTTTTATCAGCTGGTCCAATAATCGTTGCGGCAGCGGGATAGAGGTCAGGCTTTCATATTGTGGATCTGTTGATTCCGGTGGGGCGAGATGGCGGATAGATTGACTCGGATCGCCATCGTCAGTTCCGATCGGTGTAAACCAAAAAAATGCCGCCAGGAGTGCAAGAAGAGTTGTCCTGTGGTGAAAACAGGTATTGTAATACATCTGAGGTGAATTAAAACAGGGATTTTTCTCCTTCGTTTTAAAATTTTGTTTTTTTTTTCCTTTTTAAACCTGTAGTTTTTTATGAAGGATATTTTCTTCGCTTATGCTGTGATAGAGAGTTCTCCAAAAATCTGTACTATCAGTGCTTCTAGGAAATTGTCAAACAATTATTTTGAAGCATACTCGGATCTTGTTTGCGGATAGATCCAGTGATTGTAAATTTTCTAATTTTTCAGTGATTTTATGTGATCGATCGGTGTAAACCAAAAAAATGCCGCCAGGAGTGCAAGAAGAGTTGTCCTGTGGTGAAAACAGGTATTGTAATACATCTGAGGTGAATTAAAACTGGGATTTTGCTCTTTCGTTGTAAAATTTTGTTTTTTTTTTTTCCTTTTTAGGCCTGTAGTTTTTTATTGAGGATTTTTTTCTTCGCTTATACTGTGATTGAGAGTTCTCCAAAAATTTGTAGTATCAGTGCTTCTAGGAAATTCTCAAACAATTATTTTGAAGCATACCCGGATCTCGTATGCGGATAGATCCAGTGATTTTAAATTTCTAATTTTTCAGCGATTTTATGTGATCTATGATTCCCTTGGAATATTAATCTTTCTTTATTTGATTTATAGACAGATTTTTCTAGAAAATTATGTAATTTTTACCAAGACGTTTCTTTTACGCTATGATAAGGTTTGGAATACTGCTATTTGGTTTTGATATTCGATTCTCCACGTTGATGTTGTTTATGATTCAACTTAATCTGTACATAGATTAAATTTTTCGAGAACTAATGTTTTATTTTTCAGGAACTTAATTTGGTTCTCCATGTGGACTTTATTTTTCTTGAGTTCTTAATTTTAAAAGTTTTTAATTTTCATAATTTTATACTAAGCTTTCGAAATTTGTTACACATGTTATATGTTTTTTGTAACCAATGTTGTTAGAGCATTATTAGCTTTCAGAGAAGTTATAATTACCCTTGTTTTTGTTCATCAGTGTTGGTGGGTTCTTCTTTCTTTTTCAGAGGCTTCTATATTGCACATCTCATGTTGGTATAGCTGGATATATGACTCTTTAGCTTCTATGTGATTAACTTGGCAGGGAAACTTTGCATAGAGGTCGTACCTTCCGCAAGAATTGCTTTCATTTCTGAAGAACTATGCATTGGATGTGGTATCTGTGTCAAGGTTCATATCTGCCATTCAGTCGTTCAATTGTACTGTTTTTTTTTTTCTTTTCTTATAGGCCATGCTAAGTGATATCTTATTAGATTTTTTGTTATTCAGAAATGTCCTTTTGAGGCAATTCAAATTATTAATCTACCAAAGGACCTTGACAAAGATACAACTCATCGTTACGGGCCAAACACATTCAAGCTGCATAGGTATTCTTTATTTTGCATTAATGGATATGAAGATGTTCTATTTTGAAACTAAGATTCAAGTTAAATAACTGAAAATTTTTATTTACAGGCTACCAGTACCTAGACCTGGGCAAGTTCTGGGCCTTGTTGGAACAAATGGTATCGGGAAGTCTACTGCCCTTAAAGTGCTAGCTGGAAAATTAAAACCCAATTTGGGACGATTTAATGTAATCTATTTGAACATATTGCTCATTTTTTTTTTCTCATTTTTCATATTATTTATAATATATAATATATCCAAGAGCATTTCTTCTGCAGAATCCCCCTGATTGGCAGGAAATCTTGACATACTTCCGTGGATCTGAACTTCAGAATTATTTCACACGAATTTTGGAAGACAACCTAAAGGTTCGTGGCTATTTCTTCTTTCATGATAGTATTTTTCAACTATTCTAGGCTATCTCACCATGTCAAGCCGTGCCATATTTTCTAATGCATTTTTTTTCTCAGGAATTGTAAAGGAATAGAAAACAGAGCTATAATGATAACTTGTCCAGAAGCTTACCAATTTACTTGCATTAGCTAGATTTAGCACCGGATGTATCGCTCTAGAAAATGAATGGAGAAACCTTCATAAGGATGACCAAAATAGTTGGGATAAGGCTAATGATGATTATTGATGAATGTTTCAGAGTTACTATCATTTTAGGTGTACATAGCTAGTTCTTCAAGATTCTACAGCTTGGTTGCTAGCAAATTGAGTTGTCCAATTTGCCAGTCTCGTATTGAAAGTTTTTTCCCGTTCTGAACTTGGCAGGTCCTTTGCATGCTAGCTGCTAGTTTTGAAATTTCAATAATTTTTGAAGTATTAATAATGCTTTGGAACTTGGTAGCTCAATTACCTTGGCATTCTAGTTGCCTGCTTTGAAAACTTATTTTGTTTACAGTAGTGCTAAGTTCTTTTGGAGGTACATGCATTATGTTGTGTTGTCTTCTCATTTTTCTAATGTAGTTCAAAATTTTTAATCAGTTGATCAAGCCTTTTTCTCTAGAGATTTTCTGCTATCTTCTCAACATTTTCATTTGTCTGAGTTAGGGAAATTCTATTATGATGGTAAAATGTTGAGAATTCTATTGTAATAGTAAATTGAATGAAGAATTAAAGCATTTAGCAATTTCTATTTAATAAGTGTCATAAGTATAGTAGCGTTACAGTTTGTTTAAGATTAAACTTATTTAGGTGGAGGCAATAGCTAACCTGGCAGTTTTGGTAAGTATTGCTTGTATTTCAAGAACCTGTTTGCTATTGCAAGTATCTTCATTATATGCCATTTTTTGAACTAGCTTTATTTAAGGAATGTGAAATGATTAATAATTTATTGTTCACAGTACGGAGGTTTGCTCCAAGGAATATTGATTGTGATATTATTTTCTGATTAAGCAGTGCTAATTATTTGTAAATCCAAGAATTCACTGATGTAGGTTTATGGTAGATAGTTAGTCTTAGTATAATTACATAATCATAACTTTGTCATGATTAACTTAGTAGAAACATGGAATAATATATTGCATTGTAATTTGTAAGATATTTACTCCTTATTGTTGGGAATGTCGTATTCTCTATATTTACAATGCCTCACCTGATAACTTATATATCTTTTATCATGGTGACATAAAAAATTCAAAAAAACAAATGATTCTGTGGCAAAGCATGGTATTTTAAAGTTTCCAAGATTTTATGAAGGTCATTATATATGAATTGTCACAATTTTCCTCATGGTTTATAATTTAATATCAAGGCTTTTTGAAAGCGGGGAGGCTGGTGGTTATTGTGAACATTATGTGATCTTATTTCTTCTTTCAAGAATTGTTTCCTGGATATTTAATTTCTCGTATCTTATTTTGTACTGATAACAGGGAAATCTGAACCCATTGGTTTTATTTGTTTCCTAGAGTTTTGTTCTTCAATTTAAAATTTTGTGTGTTTTTGACAGGCAATTATCAAACCACAATATGTTGATCACATTCCCAAAGCTGTCCAAGGAAATGTTGGCCAGGTACTTGACCAGAAGGATGAGAGAGATAAGAAGGTGGAGTTGTGCAGAGACCTCGAGTTGAATCAAGTCATTGACCGCAATGTCGGTGATTTATCTGGTGGAGAATTGCAGAGGTTTGCTATTGCTGTGGTTGCTGTGCAAAATGCTGAGATATATATGTTTGATGAGCCATCCAGCTATCTTGATGTGAGGCAAAGGCTTAAAGCTGCACAAGTTATTCGGTCTTTGCTCAGACCAAACAGGTTGAAAGATATCTCCATAATATTTGATATTGAAAACATTCATATGGTAACTCACTTTTCTCTAATTTCAGCTATGTGATTGTCGTGGAGCATGATCTAAGCGTCTTGGATTACTTGTCCGATTTCATTTGTTGCTTATATGGGAAGCCAGGAGCTTATGGGGTTGTTACTTTACCCTTTTCTGTACGGGAAGGCATCAACATTTTCTTGGCTGGTTTTGTCCCTACTGAGAATCTGCGCTTTAGGGACGAATCACTTACTTTTAAGGTAAGGAATTGGGCAACTTCTCTAGGTTTACAAAAGTCCAAAGTCTTGACATTATTTCTTTTCAGGTTGCCGAGACACCTCAGGAGAGTGCTGAGGAGATTCAGACATATCAGCGTTATAGGTATCCCACTATGATTAAAGCTCAGGGTAATTTCAAACTTTCTGTGATGGAGGGTGAATTTACAGACTCCCAGATCATTGTGATGCTTGGGGAGAATGGAACTGGGAAAACAACATTTATTCGCATGCTGGTATGTCTTTTTTTGTCTATTACTTGTGTAATAACCTAGACACAGCACCCTTTGAACAGCTTAAAGTTGATTCACAATCATATCTTCAAGAATAAAACTTAAACTTAGGAATTTAATATGCATTGATTAATGGCAACACGTTAGAAGAATGAAAAAGATAGAACTTATATTAAGATTATTTTGATAAGCAATCATGTTAGAGGGCATATTTTGTGCTCAATTTTTATGTTTGACATTTGTTCGCGCCAAGTTCAGTTGGCAGCAAAAAAATGTTCAGAAAATTTTCTGAAAAAATAAAGCCATTTTCACAATATGCATTTGGTGTCCAAGTGACTTAATGTCCAACATGGTATTGGATATCAGGATAAATCTTGATTTACTATTACCTGCTTAAGAAATTGTTCTAAGCATCATAGAATTGTTGAAAGGTGACTAATTTTAAACATAATCGAAGTTTGTGATGTCCATCTCATTACACAGACACTTGGGATTGCTGTATTTCCGTTTTCACTCTTATTTATGGGTAATTTAATATCTGGTAATAAACTATTACTGAGATGTTTTTGTACTGTTAATTTTTGGTTCTTTGATAGGCTGGATTGCTGAAGCCTGACTCTGTTGAAGGTTCAGATGTTGAAATACCTGAATTTAATGTTTCATATAAGCCTCAAAAAATCAGTCCCAAGTTTCAATCTACTGTGAGACACTTGTTACATCAAAAAATTCGAGACTCATATATGCATCCTCAATTTGTTTCTGATGTTATGAAACCATTGCAAATTGAGCAACTGATGGACCAAGAAGTTATGAATCTGTCTGGTGGAGAGTTGCAAAGGGTTGCGTTGTGCCTATGCCTTGGGAAGGTTTGTATAATTTTTTGGATGCATTGGTAGAAGATTAAGGCTTTGTTTGGGACGGCTTTTTTACTGTTTCTTAAAACATATTTCTAATAAAAAATTAAATTTTTTGTACAAAAAAGTTGCTTTAAAAAGCAGTAAGAAAGTTGTCCCAAACGAAACCTAAGACTTCATTTGGGACGGCTTTACTACCGCTTAAAGCAGTTTTCTAGTACAAAAATCTTAATTTTTGTACTAGAAAGATGCTTTAAAAAGCATTAAGATAGCCGTCCCAAACAAGGCCTAAATAATTCAGCTCTCACCACTAATTATTGAAGGATTCTTTATTATAATAAACTTAGTTTTATTAAATTCTTAGTTTGACATATTTCTTAGTTTGTATTTTCTACTAGACCACCATGAAATTGCCTGAATCTTGACGCTGTCTTTTCTCAAGTTCTATGGTGATTCAATTTTCTTCTGCAGCCAGCGGACATATATCTGATTGATGAGCCTAGTGCTTATCTTGACTCCGAGCAGCGTATTGTTGCATCAAAGGTGATAAAGAGGTTTATTCTGCATGCAAAGAAAACAGCTTTTGTTGTGGAGCATGATTTCATAATGGCAACTTATCTCGCGGACAAAGTGATTGTTTATGAGGGAAAACCGTCTGTGGATTGTATTGCTAATACTCCTCAGACATTGGTATCTGGGATGAATCGCTTCTTATCTGTGAGTGCTGTAATTTTTTTCTACTGGTTGGACCGTTGGATTATTTATATCTAGACAATTTAGTTTACTATTTCTGAGAAATGGGAAAAATTTTAATTTAAAATGTTTGTTTCCCTTGCTGTTGACAATCAACAGAGCTATCTCATTGTGAAGATCAAAGGGCTTATTTCTGCATATAATAAAATACTGAAACCCAAATCACTCAAATATAGAGAATTAAATGTGTTTCTTGATTTCTAACAGCAAAGTAGTACAACTTGATTTTCAGTTTTATGGATGACTACTGCATATATTTGATTAAATGCACGATAAAAAAAAATGACAATACAATTATACAACAATCACATCAAGCCTTTGTCCCTGACATGGGGTCGACTACATGAGTCCTTTTTCTTCATTTTATCCTGTTAAAAGTCAAATTCTCGTTTAAATCTAATGAAGAAAGATCATTTCTAATATTTTCTAACCAAGTCTTTTTAGGTCTACCTCTACCTTTCTTAACATAAGTCAAATCTAATACCCCTATTTTTCTAACCGGGTCATTGGAAGGCTGTCGTTTTATGTGACCAAACCATTTAAGACGACTCTCTCTAATCTTTTCTTCCACTGGAGCTACTCCAACCTTTTCATGTATGGTCTCATTTCGTATCTTATCTGTAAGGGTAAAGACACTCATCCACCCGAGCATCCTCATCTCTACAACACTTAACTTAGTATTATGCTTCTCTTTTAATGGCCAACATTCGGCACCATAAAGCATTGCAGGTTTCACAACCATCTTATAGAATTTTCCCTTAAGTTCGAGGGGAACTTTTTGATAGGAAATACTTGATTTCAAGTATCTCCTAGCCAAATCTGAAGTAAAACGAGAAGGAAACTGCTGTTTTCAGCAGAGTACAGCAGCCAAAACACAAGAAAACAACGATAAAACTCAAGAAGAAACTTGAATTCCACTAGATAATGAATAAAATAGCAAAGATACAATTGATCCTCAATTCGAGAGGAGGATCGATCTCTCCCAAAGCTCTAGACGCCGCTAGAGCCCAAAGAAAATCTAAATCTAAGAGATCTCAAATTTCAGCCAAATTCAAGATACTCAAACCCTAGGAAAATCAACTATTTAGTGCATACCAATCAAAAGGAATTCCCTAAACAGTCCCTACATTCAAATTCCTCTCTCAAACCCCAAAAAAATCCTTCCTAAAATGATCCCGTGGAGCTTGCGTGCGAGCGGCTGACGGAAGAGGCGGAGACGTTCGCCCGTTCTCCGCCTGGACCGGTCCCGCATGGACCAGTCTAACACTTTTCTATCACACAACAAACCTGATGCATTCCTCCACTTCAACCATCCAACTTGAATTCTGCTGATAATATCTCTATCTATTTCATGATCACTCTGAACAATACATTCAAAATATCTAAAACGTGTACTCTCTTATTAATGACTTAATCGCCCAAAGTCACAATCCCCTCCCTAAGTCTATTACTACTAAAATTACACTCCATATATTCAATTTTAGATCTACTCAAGCGAAAACCTTTAGAGTTTAGACTCTAAGGGTGACCTCCAATTAATGACAATATTAGATCAAAATTCTAGGTTGTTTTTTCAATTTCATGGTAATACTACTGACAACTATTTTATTTAGTTTTTCCAAAATAGCAGTTGGTGTTCTCCCGTTGGCTTACAGGCTTTTACAATTATTGTCCATTGCTCATTTAGAACAGCCGCTCATATCCTATGATGGTAAAATCAAATACTTTTGAAGTAGGCAGAAGCAAAATCATTTTCATTTAATGCCTCATTTTGTCGGATATGTTAGCGTTTACGAACAGGTGCTTTTGCCATATAAAATGCTGGTGAGCTGTATATACAGAGACAATATGAGCATATTCACTCACAAACAACAAAAACAAATATCTTAATTTCAGCATTAGTAGCTCCCGTGGGTTGTCTCCTTTTTCTTCATTGTATCCTATTAAGAGTCAAATTTTTATTTTAATCTAATTAAAAAATGTCATTTATAATACTTCTTAACCGAGTTTTTTTAGGTCTACCTCAACATTTCTTAACATAGACTATATCTAATATATTTACTTTCCTAACCTGATCATCAGAAGGCTGACGTTTTTAAGTATGCAGTAAGAAAATTATATTCACTAAAAGCCTCATTTTAGTAAGAAAATTACATGAAGAAACAACTTCTTTATAATTGCATTAGCAGCTTACGTGGGGGTAAGAAGAATTGGAGCAGTCGCTACATTGCAAGCTTATCAGAACCATCAGCTTAGAACTGTAGCTCTATTTATATTCGTTGAATCATAACCTCTTCTCATTCTGATTGCAGTCTCTACCACATAATTAATACTCTGGGAAATTTTGTAATGTAATCCTCCAAGGAAAACCTCATATCTATTTGCTACACTAGCGTCCCTGTTGGTCCTCAAATCTTAAGGGTCAATGATTTTCATGGCTTTCTTGATTGAACCAACGCGTCTTACAACATTTTCTCGCTGAATTGACAAGTTTATCTTAGTTTAACCCTCTCTACAGTACTTGCCAAACCCCCTGGAAAACAGAAAAAGAAAAACGAAACCCATTCTACCCTATGTCCTTACTCTTGAAGCTTGTGTGGACATCTAGACGGCTATTGCACTTTTCTTCAACCCATGACCCTCTCCTTGCTAAATTCAACTAAAAAATGAACCACATCATGTCTCTATGAAAGATCTCTCTCTGGTTCAATATCTCACCGAAATCAAATCTTTGGATGATAACATTGCATCAACTTGTTCCATCATAGATCAGGAAGGTATCACTCTTCACGTTGTTCATGGCCTTCTATATGTCACGCTTTCAAAAAATAATCGATATGAAATTTACCCCTAACAATCTCGACAATCTTTTCTCCATACCGTGCAATGAAGAGATCAACACCACTAATGAATTTGGCATGAATTTGCCAAAGAATATATGTTGTTGCACTCAACCTAGCCTTAGCCACTCTTCGTGGATGTGATAGCAGCTCCTTGCGCGAGGACATGGAATTGATTTTTCTATTTATAATATGCATTTTGGCCTTTCAAATCTTTTAAAAATAGTAGAGATAGATCCCAACCCAACTTCAACACTTGCCAAATTTATTGGAAATTCGGTCACTCAGTGATAACCTGCTGGCATCAGATCAACGTTCTTTACTCCTTGTCCAATTACTAGTTGATCACCAACCCGTTAGTGGCCTCTCCTAGGTCCATGCCCACTGATTGGCTCCTTAAATATAATGCTACTTTACACTTCACTTTTCAAATTTGATAAATTGCAAAATTTCTACACATAAAAAATCCGATCAAATCCTTAATGAGAACTCTCTACGGATCTCGAACTTTATTCATGGACTCCCAAATCCCCATAAGCTTCTTAGAAAAACTTCATGTTCTCAATTTCTCTCATAATTTTATTTCAGTTCATCAACTTATTGCTGATAATAGTTCCATCTTTGATGTTTCAGCTTTCTCATCAAGGACCTGATGGCAAACCTATTCTCCAGGGCCATTATTGCAACGAATTATATGACATCCCTTCTATTCTGCCTCAATTCTGCAACATGCACTCTCATCCAATACATCTACGAACAAACTCTGGCACCATTGTCTCGATCATCCCCACGCTTCTATCTTTTTGTCCATCTCCAACAATAGCAATCACTATGCATACCCATTACCCACTAACAATGAACTTCTCTTTTTATAATCATTATAACTCCATTAGAAGTCACCGGCACCCTTTCTTGGAGACTAGTAACCATCACCACAAACCTATAGCTTATACAAATTGATGCATTACTCCCCAACTCTTTCAAATCATTGTTATAAATATCATGTTCTCTTTATTGATGACTTTCCTTTATTTTTGGATTTTTCCTATGCATACTAAATCTTGAGTTGTCACAAAAATTTGTCTATTTCAAAGCTATGGTTGAAAACCAGTCAATGCCGGCCTCAAACTACTTAGCTTTGACGGTGGTGGCAAGTAGTAAGTACACCACCTTCACTCTTTATAACTTATTCTCTACTAGTGGTATTGTACACTCATATAAATGCCCTAATGCTCCCAAACAAAATGTTTTCGTTGAGCTAAATCATCCCCATATAATAGAACCATCATACACACTACATGAAGTCCATCTTCCCTATCACCTATGGGTTGACACATCACTTACATATGTCTATCACATTAACTGCATGCAATCTCCTTATCAATCATTATATAATAAACCACCGGCTTGCTCTCAACTTAGAGCTTTTGACTGCTAATGCTTCCTCTGGCTATGACCATAATCAAAACACAAACTTGCACCACATCTCACTCGGATCTGCTTATCCCGTGTCTCTTCCTCTTGATATGAATCTTTTCCAAGCCCAAAAGTCAAAGTAGCCACTCCTACAATAACATTAATTATAAATCCTTCCATTACTTCCAACTCTCCTCCAATATCCGACATAATGCCCATCCTAAACCAAATGCAATCATCATCTCTTCAGCAATCCCATCAACCTCTCAATAACCACTCGATCAAAAAATGGGCTCTCTCAAGGCCAACTGTATGCTCAACCTCCACACCCTCGATCCATCTTGCTGCACCTAAGATATTAAGCATCTCAAATGGAACATTTTTGTTTAACTGGTCAATAAATGATCATGATGAGGGTTTTAAATCCAATTTGATTTATTTTAAAATGAGTGCAATGTTATTTATTTATGTATTACACCTATCTTAAACTATATTTAAGGGCTTTATAGGCCATGTTGATCAAAATTTTTGTCAGATGTTGAAATAGAAATGTTTTCCCTGAGAATTCTGGCGATAGGATTTTTATATTTTGTAATGAATCAAGTAATGAACGCCAATCAAACAGTACACACTTACATGGATATATTTACTGCAGCATCTTGATATTACATTTAGACGAGATCCGACTAATTATCGACCTCGCATAAACAAGTTGGATTCCACAAAAGATAGGGAACAGAAATCTGCAGGGTCTTATTACTACTTGGATGATTGACAGGCTCACAAATCAAATGAAAGAAGGTTTTTTTTTCTCTATTGCTTTTAGATGTTATGGTTTGGCTTTCCACAGTTGCAATATATCTCTTTACTGAGCCCCTTTCTTGGTTTTGTAGGTTTATTTATTGCCCACAGTGAAACTGAAGAGAGCTCAATATAAAAAAGCTTCTGCAAATCGGTTCATTTTCCCGTTGGATTGAAGCTTTATTCTCGAAAGTTTCAGTTCTCTGCAACTTTTTTATAATGTATGAGAAGAGTAATTGAGGCCCAGGGAACTGTGCTAATAAGGACCTCTACAGTTAAATTTTGCTGATCCTTACCAAGCTGCGACGCCGGTGTAAGGTTTGCCCCCACTGTTTGTCTGAGTTTAGTGAGCTTAGTCGTATATTATTCAGGTTGAAGAGTTATTTGTAGAGATTGAAAATTTTGAATTTGTAGACTTATAAAGGACATGATTTGTGTGATCTATATTATTGTATTTATCAATGATATTTTATGGTGAAATTAAAACTGTGATAACTGCTTGTTTGCCTAATTGGTCATTTACTGTGAGATATATTATTTTGATTATTGCATTACTACTAGCATTGAGAGAATTTGTTTGATATAATGCACTAAATAGGTCTCCTTGATGCTGTAAGTGGGGATAACAAAGTAAGAACCTTGTTGAGATTGAACCCACCCTTGAAATCTGTTAGACCGGTTTGTTGGACCAGTCCAGGCAGAACAAAGGTGAAAGTTTCGTCCCTCCTATACGTGCCGAACGCACGCCCGGGTCCAAGGGAGCTATTTAGGAACGATTTTTGAGGGAGTTAGGAGAGAAATTTGAATGTAGTGACTGTTTAGAGATTTTCTTTTGGATTGTATGCGTTAAATAGTTTGTTTTCTTAGGATTTGGGCATCTTTAATTTGGCTGAAATTTGAGATCTCTTAAGTTTAGTTTTTTGGGCTTTAGCTGCGTCTAGATATTTGGGAGAGATGAATCCTCTTGAATAGAAGATTAATTGTATCTTATTATTTTTTTTTTCATTAGTTTGATTATCGTAATAAAATTATTTATTTTTATGTTTTTTTCTTTGAATTTGTGGATCGTGAATTACAAGTATTTCCTAACAAAATCTTCTTCAAAGACCAATCATTCTAACCTTAGTTATTGGGCAATTTCAATCTTTTAAACACCTAATATTATTCAAAATATATATTATAATATTATAGTATTTATATGATATATGGGAGTCATAAATTTCAAATATTCTAATTTAGTTGGATATATCAAATAAGAATTTCTTAGTACTTTTCAGAGCCTCATATTGACCTCGTTGGGGAATGCAATAATAGGACTAACTATGCAGATCACACTTAGATTAACATATATATATATATAATTTTACATTCAACGGCAAAACCAAAGTACTTAAGAAAGAAATATCTATGATGTTACCATGGATGGATAAAGATTAACGATTGAAAGCTATCTTCAAAAATCATTTGTTTTTAAATTTTTTTTTTTTTCTGTTCTTCGTACAAAGTTGAACGTGGGCTGGCAGCAGCACATGTTTCACATGCAATATATTTTGTAAACTATCTCAATAATAAACTAAGTAAAGTAACATAAATGGACGATCATAAGAGGAACACGTCGACTATGACTCAAATCGTACGATTGTGGGCCCATTAATCTCATCTCCATAATTGATCATACCTGGGCCCAAGCCCAAAGCCCAATAATTTAAAACCAACGGCTAGGATAGAATGGACTTTCCTATAAAACCTCATTGTTCTTCTCCACTATCCACTCATCAGGAAAAATATAGAGCCGTATTAGTCAATTAATGGCTCCGTTTTTAGTAGGGATAGATTTGGGACAGAGCCCCTTACGCGTTGGTGGCTTTGTACACACCAAATATATTGTTGCTCAAGGAACCAAAGGTTTTCCTCTTGAGAAATTATTACGTGCGAATATTAGACTGAGAGAATCATCCGAATTTTTCTTTGTTTATAGTAAAAGCGCAATCAAAATATAATTGCTATAATAACTATGCTTTGACTGCGCTTTTAGTAGGTATAGATTTGGGACACATGCCCTTGCACGTTGGTGGGTTTGTACACACCAAATGTATTGTTGCTCAAGGAACCAAAGGTCTTCCTCTTGAGAAATTATTAGGTGAAGACATTAGACGGAGAGAATCATCCGAATTTCTCTTTGTTCATAGTAAAAGCATAGTCAAAACATAACTGCTATAATAACTATGTTTTGATTGCACTTTTACTATAGATAGAGAAAAATCCGGATGATTCTCTCCGTCCGGTATCCGCACCTAATAATTTGCCCTTCATCCTCTTCTTCGATCCATCCTCCCAATTAATTATTATTTCTAAAATTTATAATTTATTTATACGCCATATTTTTTATTGCTTTATCAACTTTCTCGATTTAATTTAAGCAATTTTTTTTTTTTAAATACAGACATAAAGGTAAACGGACTTCGAGCTCCGACCAGTGGCGAAGTGGTGGTGGCCTTTCAGGACGCCAATCAGGTTGTGAAATCCTTCTTCGTCGGCCCTAATTTTGAGGTAATGATGAAGATGATTGGTACAATTTTGTGAATGTTTAATGATATCGGGCTTAAATGAGCTCGCTTTCAGGGCGCGGTGGTGGTGGTGCCAAACTCCACCAGCTCAAGCAACCGCGACGCGGTCACCGCCGCCGCGAGAGCCGAGGGTTTCAACGTCATCGAAGTCATCAACGAGCAAGCCGCGGTCGCCGCCGCTTACGTTGAGATAGTGAAACCCACTTCGAACAAAAGGCTGGCCATCGTCTCCGTCATCAACGGCGTCCTCGACGTCAGCGTCGTCACCGTAAAGCCCGATTTAGAATTCGTTGTAGAAGCACACGAAACCCATTTAGAACCCATCGAGTTTGAGGAGCAAAAAAAGCAGGAGAGCAAGCACTCTGGGCCGGGCGGGCTGATCGGAATCGTGGGCGGAGTGGTCGGAGGCGTGGTGAAGACTCTGGTGGTGGATCCGTTGGATATGGTATTTGATATACTGTTGAAATTGCTGTCAAGTCCAAAGCTGGGAAAGTCACCAGTGGATGAGTTGGTTTTGATCGGAAAGGCTTTCAGGTCTGAGAAGCTGAAAGAGGTGCTGAAGAAGAAATTTCCCAATGCGAGAGTCTGGTCGCCCAACGATTTCGGGGCGGACGAAGTGGTGGCGTACGGCGCGGGAGTGCTCGCATTTAAGCAGAAGCCGGCCGATCCGAGTATTGAGACCCCGCCGGCGAAGCAGCCGGTGGATTACGAGGAATCGGATTCAGGAAAGGGAAATGTGAATGTTGTTGAGGAAAAACACGGGGAAGAAGGTGGCGAGGAAGAAAAACATGGCGAAGAAGGTGGCGAGGAGAAAACGGATCAAAGCTCGAAGAAATTTGTGCCTATTTCGAGTGTGATTTTCTGAACTCGAATCGGAAATTTCCGTTTTCTCATATAAGTTTGCCTATAATGTTTTTTTTTTTTTAATAACTATTTCTATTCAAGACGATATTGCTAATGAGGAAATCTCTTATCTCTACTCTTCATATATCTATGACCTATACTCTATCTACTGAGGATTGTTATTATCTTACTAAGGATATTAAATCCGTTAATTCAGCATTGAATCTGATAAATCCCCTGGCTGGATGGGTTTACTTCTAAGTTCTTTAGAGACATTTAGCATATAATAAGAAGCTCTTTTATCGGAAAAACCGAAAAACTATTCTGTGTGGAGTCCAGATGAAAGAATCATCCGGATTGTAAGTGTATATACTGTGTACACAATATGTATAAAAAATTGGTACAAACTGTGAGCAAATTTGTATACAGTCTTTATACTCACATGTCCGAACGATTATTCCTGTCTAGACTTCGCACCGAATAATTTCTTCCCTATGAAATGAAAAATTGGAGACTTATTTATAATTCTTTTGAGAGTGACCCTTTAATAAATTTGGTTAGAATTCAAAATTCTCCATCGAACTACACATATTGATCTTATTAATAAGAAATTATTTATTCAGTATTTGAGTATCTTAATGAGATCAAAATTGAATGATCTTTGATTCATTGAATTAGACTAGTCAATTTGCTCAATTTGACTCCAAGCACATAATATTTGGAGATTGGTTGGTCCTTCAATTTATAATCCTGAAACTTTTTAATATGCTTCAAGAGATTAGATCATCTTTTCGGTTTTCATTGGGCTCTTTTTTTGTTGGGGCGTTTAGTTCAACTAGAAATTTGTTGAAAATAAAATTCAAATGTCTATGTTTCTAATTCAAATACTATCACTAAAATCATGTTGTTCAATTAATTTTTTTTTTTAACGAAGTATTATTTGTCCCTATTTAGAACGCCAATGCTTGGAGAGATTATTGTGTGAGGACATCAGACTGGAGAGAACCGTCCGATTTTCTGTCTGTCTATAGTCAAAGCCTAGTGAAAATGTTGTTATTATAACAGCTATGTTTTAACTGTGCTTTTACTGTAGACAAAGAGAAAATCGGATGATTCTTTTCGTTTGGTGTCCGCACACAATAAAAAGTCCAATATGCTTGTGTTGTCTTAAAACACATTAAATCTTTAAAATACATTGTGGTGTAAAATTATAATCTAAAAAAAATTACAATTCATGATCACTTTTAAGATGTTACTATTGACGTCACATTAAAGTCATAAATCAAATAAAATATGCTTAATTGTAATTTCATCCTTTATTTAGGTTAGCGCATCGATGTGTACAAAATCATTTGAAATTTTCCTAAAAAATTTTCATATTTGCTCGACACTGATCAAAGAGACTTCGTTGGACTTCTTTCTAATATCTATTTTTATGTTTATTTTCAATCTAAAATAAAAAATCAAACATATTAAAATTAGAAAATTATGTTGAAAACTAGTAACATAAATTAGACTAATATATTTTGAATCAAAATCTTTAAATTTAATAATTTTGGGATAACTTTATAATAATAATAAATGAGTTTGTGAACAATGTGACGTCAATATTGACGCCTCACTGTTCACATTCACAAAAATGTTGCTGCGAATACCGTTCGAGTGAATAGTTTGTGGAATTGCAAACGGCCGTATCCAATTTGGTTTGAGATACCCAGAATGAAGGCCGCCCGCACCAATCTAATAATATAAGAAAGCACATTTGCTAAAATTGTGGTAGTTAACTTATGAAGCTAATACACAAGTAAATGGGGCCATAATCCAAAATCAAATAAAGCAGATAGCATGCTTAATGGTAGAGAATGAGATTTATAAGGTTATTCTTAGCCCTATTAGGCAGCTCCCCAATGGTAAAGTAATGGACATCCAAGAAAATTTGAGAGCCAATAATCTCCTAAGCTTTTAGGAAGGATTTATTAGAGGTGAAACCATCAGCCCAAGATCTTTGTCAAAATCATCATTGGGCAATGCACCCTTTATCTCCCGAGTTGAACAAGTCAAGATTAAGATGCAGGAATTTTACATCTAACAGGAATAGGCAAGGAGATGTCAGTGCAGGAATTTCTTTTGTTTGACAGGAGAAATTATTATATTCGGAATCCGAAAGTGCTTGGAGGAGAATTTGGGTATGCCATATCACTGGGACCCAGTGCATTCGGTGACGTGGCGCATCCGGATTCGTCTCTAAATGCATTCGGTTTCCGCACACAATAATTTCTCGTTTGACAGACAGAAGTAACCAATGACTTCTTCATTAAATTCTTAAAGCACCAATTAATACATAGATTCTTAAAGCACCAATTAATACAAACTAGAATTGCACTAGGCTAGACTGCTAAAAGGATGCAGATCAGTACACGATGAAACATTATCAGTTAATGGAATACACCATGGATCAGCTCAATACCTGTTGTATTACAGGATAGAAATGGTTCCATCAAGGTTTGCCCATGGAAGGAAAAGATAAAAGTTTATTAAGTAATCTTCTCAGCAGACTTAAAAAGCTGAAGACATCACAACGCAGAATATTCAATATTTGTACAAATTGTAATTCATATATTTCTATAATGTTTTGAGGGAACAAAAATCAAATTATCAATTGGATACAGAAGGCAGAACAAAGTTCTTCCTATAAGAAAAATGACCAAGAAAAATGGAAAATAGAAGTTTTATATGACCCCGCACCTGATTTCTGAGAAGTAATATTGAAAAAAAAAAGCCAAAACCTTGTCCTTGGAATTTCAACTGTATTTGATCACAGCAACCAGATAAGCAGACATGAATTTGATGTTCTTAAGTAAGCATAAGATCATTAGTTCCGAGATGGGGAGGACGCAGAGACACATGAACTTCATGTTCTTCTGGTTCAGAGCCATACTTAGGAACCATTATCTCTAGAATAGTTCCAGTCTCATCATAATAAGCCTCTATCTTAGAATCTTCATGAATACGAGTTGCAAGTGATATTTCTCTTACAAATTCCCCAGGAGGGCAGTGCTCTGGAGAAGGATCTGTCAGCTTGAATGTTCTATCATGTCTCTTTATAAAAGGCATTCGAGATGTGCTAACGCAAGATATCTTCACTATTCCATGAGTAAGATCATTCCTCCAACAAACCTTCACTCTGTGCTGATCAGAAAGGGGCAAACTGACCATTATCAGATAACCCTTATCATCCTCATATATTGTTTTTGCTGCAGTAACAGGACCACACGCATGTCTCATCACACCAGTAAAATCATGGATCCATGATGGCTCAATTGGATGAATTTCCATATCCTGAGGCCTATCTGAATAAGAATGTGCAGGCAAGCAGCAATCCTCCTCCATGGCATGGGGAAAGGAAGAATCCTTCCTGCGTTTATTGGAATGCAGAGACAGGTCCATCACATCAGAATCATGATCATGATTCAATAGGTTCAATCCTGAAACATTTAGTAATCTCCTTGAAGAGCCCTGCCTCAATAGAGGGGCAGGTTTATCGTGCTCGATATCAACAACAGGAAGATTTCTCCATGATCCGAAGTCACAAGCTTCAGGCGGTATGGGAAAGTTCAGATCCCTCCCAGTAAGTTCCATCCACTTCTTCCGATCGTCTTCTGGTACACCAGTCAAATTGGGCAATCTGACAACCTCAATCCCATGGATACATTGAGGGTTTGATAATCCCTTGTAATGCTTGCGCTGCATCCGGTGGGATCGAGCGAATCCCTTTTCGACACTGAAGGGGAACTGGGATTCGCCAAGACGAGAGTGCCCATTCATATAGCTCCGAAGCTGCATCTTCCCTAACGCGTTGTCAGGTCTTTCCTTGAAGACCCACATGTACATATTCTCCATGTCATGCTGAACCAAAAAAACATCGACCTTCAGATCAGATTTATCAAAACCGGAAAACCCACTTTCATCATGGGTGATCTTCGCCTTGGATTTCTCAGAAAGCAAAGGCTTGAAGTAGAAATTAAAGAAAAACCACGCTCCCCAAAAGCTATCGCCTTTCTTTGTGCACTTGCGGCTGCACACCTTAGGGTGATGGAGGACGGTGGCCTCAACCTCATTCATATGAGGGCTAAGGTCAAGGATCTCACATGAATCCGAACTCCAGGATGGCGGCGGAGTGGAGCTGTCTGCAGAGAGGGGAAGGTTGATGTCAGGTGCCGGAAGGGAGAGGGATATCTGCTGACGATGATAAATCATGAGCTCCCGCTCGGAGTCTTCATGGGCTGCAGCCACAGCTGCGGTACCGGAGCTAGCCGGCTCCATAGACAGGAAGGTGGAAGGGTAGTAGTTGTCCATACTCAGAGAAGTGAGGAAGGATTCACCCATGGAGAAGTCGATTTCGCGATATGAAATCTCTCACTCCTACACCTCTGTTTCGATACCGATCTCCTCCTCCGTATTACTAATATGCAGATTTATACGTCCGCCACACCGAGCATGATAAACATTCCATAAAAAAACCACATAACCCTAATCGATAAACCACATAGTCAAAGCACAAAAATTTAAAAAAAGGCTAAATTCAGACTCCTCACAATCCAACAAATTCTTCGCTAAGGACAATGAAGATGCGGGAAGATAATGAAAATCTCTTACAGGTTGAAACAATCAAAAGAGATATGACTGAACGGGTCTCTGTGAGGTAAGAAAAGGGCAGAGCCCTGATCTGGAGAACGTCCTTATCAGACAGAACAAAAATCCAGCCAAAGATGACCAAACAAAAAACCCTGATAGTGGAATCAGAAGCGATGATCTCAGAGAAACAATTCCCCTCTTATCAACGAGGCTTAGCTTTCTCCTCGACTGTATGCGACGATCTCTTCCGCCATTTTCGACTTCGAGATCGAGAGAGAGAGGGATGGAAAGGGTGACGGGGCTTTGAAAACCGTCAAAGGAAAGCCGGCTGTCCATTACATAACCGTAACGCTTGTGACGGCGGTGACGGAATACTGATCCGTTGTTTCGTGTGTCCGTGTCGGGCAGCTTTAGAAACCGCCAGGAAGCCCTGCCCGCCATCACTTGACGGTAACGGCAACGGTGACGGCGACGGCGGGGTAGCGATCTGCTGCTGCGTGCATGGGGCGAGTCCACATCACCCGGCCAACCACTATATATTTATTTTTGTCTGAAGCTATCGTTCCTTATCTTGATACGTCGATAGCTAATTGATAATCAGGCAAAGGAAGGTGATAAATAAATTCACTTCGAGAGCAACACTAAATTGATAAATAAAATAAAATATATGTAAACAAATATTTATGTAAAAGTCATATTTGAAGACTAAAAACATATATCATATTGATAATAAAAAAATACACAAGCTACTCTATACCTATCTCCAAGGGGAGAGATTATTACGTGTGGAGCCCGGGTGGAAAAATCGGTCCGGTTTTGTGACTGTGAAAAATAAAAGTGTAGTAAAAGCGCAGTGTTGAACAATAATTGCTTTTTTAATGTTCACAATCACAAAACGAACGACTCTTCTCGTCCAGACTCTGCACGTAATAATTTCTACTACAGAGGAGTAAATGAGTATATATAGCTGAACTCTAGTCATCTTAGCCTTAAACTTGAAGTTGATTAATTAATTAAGTTCTAGCTCGAGCTCGAACTTTATTCTACGAATTCATATCGTTGATTTTGAAAGAGAGAAATTTTCAAAGCATTATCAAATAATTTACATTTTTGACTTTGTAAACATATGTGTATAACAATGAGAAAATTGAAAATTTAAAAATATTTATATGGAAGAATAAAAAAATATTCAAATTTTGATGAAAGGGTTATTATTACGTGATGAATAAAGATATTTCAAAACATTCCTATATATTAAAAATGAAGTATTATGTAAGTCAATACTTTGCTTTTCAAACAACAAGCTTAATTTCGTTTGGCCACTGCTTTCTTGCAGCAGTTGTCCCAAACAAATTTTTAGCTATTGTAGTTGTAAAAAGTAAATTTTCATCACAAAAATTTCTAAAAAATTACAAGAAAGCATTAGCCAAATGAAAATTGTAGTTGATGTTTGAGAAGCAAATTAACAAAAAAGTTGTCCCGAACAAACCATAACTCCATTTTTTTAATAATTTCAATTCATATATTCTAATTTCAGTACAAAGAAAGCATGGGATTCAATAAAATCCATGTAAATTCTCCACAACTTCACAATCAACTTTATAATACTCTATAGTATAAGCGAACAGAACACTCTTAATTACGTTAATACCATGTATTCCTTATTTAAGACATACTGTACCGCAACTTTACTAATAATGAAATACTTTTCCCTTTTCCTATTCCTGTCTCGGTTCTCTGTCTTGAGACGTTCTTCCTCCTTCTTTATCTTTGCTTTCATGGTATCAGAGCCATAAATGGCTGATCAAGAATCGACAAACACCCACCCAAATCCCTCACCGTCACTCTCCGGCCAACAATCTGCAGATCTCACAATACCTCCTCAGCTCAAGTTTCTAATATCCAATATCAAGAATCTCATACCTCACGCCCTCACCGCCGACAACTACGCCATTTGGCGTATTCAAGTCCTACAGCAATTCACTGCTAATGGATATGCGGGACATCTTACCGGAGCATCTCCCTCACCCGCCGACGTTACCTCCCCGGAAGCTCTCCGCTGGCAACTTGAAGACAACAATCTGCTCTCCGCCTTATTCTCAACAATTTCGTCGTCGATCCTACCTTACATCATCACCTCCACCACCGCGCAAGAAGTTTGGCAGGTTCTTGAACGACGTCTTCAACCCACGTGTCGTTCTCGAGTCATACAACTCAAGAACGAACTTCATCATGTGCAGATGAAGAATCTCACTATGCAGCAATATCTCTCGCAAATCAAAACGATTGTTGACAGCATAGCCGCCTCTGGTTCTAAAGTCGACCCGGAAGATATCATCATACACATTTTAAATGGCTTACCCTCCTCCTACAATCCCTTTAAGGCAGCAATACGCACCTACCCAATTCAGCTCGATCTGGACAATCTTTACTCCATGCTGTGCAGCGAGGAGATCAACGTCATGCAAGAACATGCCAAAGATTCTACGTCTGATGCCGGCAGCACGGCTCTCTACACAAATTCTTATAATTCTCAAAAAGGACGATCTCAGAAACGCTTCTTCAAGAACAAGAATCCACAATCCTCCCAAAACTCCACTATACCTGCTTCGGTCCAGCCAACTACTGTGAACAACATTCGGCCTACTTGCCAAATTTGTGGCAAACCTGGCCACATAGCAATCAACTGCTGGCACAGGTGCAACTTCAAGTACGCTCCTACGAACACAAGATCTACCCACGCCCTCAATGCTCAAACTAATCCGACCAACTCCTCCGAGTGGATCTTGGACACCGGCGCTACCTCCCATCTTACCCCGGACATCCACAACGTTCAATACCCTCACTCCTACACCGGTCCCGATAGTGTCTCCATCGCCAACGGATCAACTATACCCATTCAGAATTCCGGTCAGGGCCTCTTACCCCTTCCCGACACGCCTCGTAAGCTTTACTTACGCAAAATTCTTCATGTTCCAAAATTAGCTCAAAATCTTTTATCTGTCTCAAAATTAACTACTGACAATCCTATATCTATAAGATTTGATGCGAATGGTTTTGTGATAAAGGATATCCAGGATCGTCGTCCGCTGCTTCATGGCAGTCTCCATAACGGGCTCTACAAGATCTCCCAACAGCAAGACAATAAACACGTGGCTCTTCACGCAAGCTCTCTGACTACTCAGCTTTGGCACAACCGGCTTGGACATCCTCACCGGCAAATCCTCTCCATTCTCTCGCATGCTATACCGGACATCAAGAACGCTGTCTCTATTTCACCATGTATTTCTTGTAGTGTGGCCAAGAGTCACAAAATTTCATTCAATAGAACTATTTCTATAACTACACAACCATTTGAATTGATTCACACGGATATCTGGGGTCCCGCGCCTATTCCATCTCTCGACGGTTTTCGCTATTATGCTCTTTTTACGGATGATTATACACGTTTTTCTTGGATTTATTTAATGCATAACAAACAAGAAACGTTTTCAAAATTCAAAATTCTTTACAAACTTATTAAAACTCAGTTTAAAACGACTCCTAAAATACTACGGTCGGATGGTGGAGGCGAATTTCTTAGCAACGAGTTTACTTCCTTTCATGGCAGTCTCCATAACAGTTTCTTCGCACTTTCGGCTGTCTCTGCTTTCCTTGGCTGCGTCCCTACACTTCCACTAAACTTGATCCGCGATCCCAAGAATGTGTGTTTCTTGGCTATTCAACATCCCACAAAGGCTACAAATGTTATAACTTAACTACGCACAAGATCCACATCTCGCGGCATGTTGTCTTCCACGAACAAACTTTCCCTTACAAGACAGATCCACCTAAATCCAATTCTGATTTCCCAACCTCGCCGGTTCCCATTTCACCCTATCTTTTAACACCAACATCAACCATCCCTATTCAGTCCAGCAACCACGTACCGCTTCTACCTCCTGTGTCTAACCAACTACCCAATTCTACTACCATCTCTCAAACCGATCAACACACTCCGCCTGGTCCCGAGCTCACTCCGACTGATACTAACCCTCTGCCTACCCATCGCCCCTCACATCCCATGCAAACACGTTTGAAATCTGGCATTTCTAAACCGAAACAAATATTTTCTCTTGCAAGCACTACTTCTCTGCAGGATACGCCGAAAACCTTTAAGCAAGCCTTGATGCAGCCTCATTGGCAGCAAGCCATGCTAGAAGAGTTTCAAGCACTACAAAAACAGCAAACGTGGACTCTTGTACCGCCTCCGAACGACAAACCTATACTTGGCTGCAAATGGACCTACAAAACCAAAATTCTTCCTGACGGCAACCTCGATCGCTACAAAGCCCGCCTAGTAGCTCTCGGATACGATCAACAATTGGGCATCAACTACACAGAAACTTTTAGCCCGGTCGCTAAAATGACAACAATCAGAGTCTTACTCACTTTAGCTGTTCACCGGAAATGGAAAATTCTGCAGCTAGACATTTCCAATGCGTTCCTCCACGGCGACCTACATGAGGACGTCTACATGCGGCAGCCACCAGGATTCACCGATCCAACCTCACCGAACGCGGTTTGCAAGCTACAGAAATCGCTCTATGGACTCAAACAAGCTCCGCGCCAATGGTTTGAAAAACTTACTCAATTCCTTCTCGCAAGAGGATTCAGGTTTAGTCGTTCCGATCCTTCACTTCTTATCCTTACCATTCAAAACATTCAAATCTTCTTTCTAATTTATGTCGACGACATTCTCGTAACAGGTAATGATAGTCAAGCCATTCAAACATTACTCAC